TTTTTTCATTGGATAGGGAAGAGACAGTTGCTTAAATATGCATTGCTTTCTTGCAGAAACTAAATGAGCCAAAAAAACTGCATAGTCCTGACATAATTGTAACTAATGCTAGATCTAAGTGAATGACACACGAACAATCGCCATGTAAATTGCCTTGCAAAAGAATTACAAATGGTACGTTGAAATTTCATTATGATAGTCACACTTTGAAACTGAAAATTAGAAGGTGAAAATGGTTTTATGTTGGGACATGTAAATAGTTCAAATTTGCTACTTGGCACAACCATCATTCACTGGAACAGAGCTTCATTATTCAGTATTCTGGAGGAATTTTAACAATAACAATAAACAAATAATGTAAAACAGCAGGTGTTTACAAGAAACATGAGAGAAAAAAGGAATACCTATATACAAATATATATTTTATGTATGCATTTGTGTATATATAATGCAGCTTGGATTAGCCATCTTAGTCCAGTAGACAAGTTGCCAAAATACCAGAGTATTGCAGTATGCAATGATACCTTTTTTTTTTTATTAACCAACATAATAGTTAAAAGGCAAGTTTTCTATAGTTTTATAGTTTTATTGTCTTCCTCAGGTCTACAGCAATATTAATCTATATGATAGAGTTTAACAGTTAAAACAACTGATTTTATTAGAAAAAGGGAGGAGGTTTTATATCAAAAAAATAAAGGGAACACTTAAACAACACAATGTACAGTCAGGTCCATAAATATTGGGACATCAACACAATTCTAATTGTTTTGGCTCTATACACCAACACAATGGGTTTGAAATGAAACAAACAAGATGTGCTTTAACTGCAGACTTTCAGCTTTAATTTGAGGGTATTTACATCCAAACCAGGTGAACGGTGTAGGAATTACAACAGTTTGTAAATGTGCCTCCCACTTTTTAAGGGACCAAAAGTAATGGGACAGATTAACAGTCATAACTCAAACTTTCACTTTTTAATGCTTGGTTGAAAATCTTTTGCAGTCAATTGCAGCCTGAAGTCTGGAACACATAGACATCACCAGATGCTGGGTTTCATCCCTGGTGATGCTCTGCCAGGCCTCTACTGCAACTGTCTTCAGTTCCTGCTTGTTCTTGGGGCATTTTCCCTTCAGTTTTGTCTTCATTAAGTGAAATGCATGCTCAGTCGGATTCAGGTCAGGTGATTGAATTGGCCATTGTATAACATTTCACTTCTTTCCCTTAAAAAAAACTCTTTGGTTGCTTTTGCAGTATGCTTCGGGTCATTGTCCATCTGCACTGTGAAGCACCGTCCAATGAGTTCTGAAGCATTTGGCTGAATATGAGCAGATAATATTGCCTGAAACACTTCAGAATTCATCCTGCTGCTTTTGTCAGCAGTCACATGATCAATAAATACAAGAACCAGTTACATTGGCAGCCATACATGCCCACGCCATGACACTACCACCACCATGCTTCACTGATGAGCTGGTATGCTTTGGATCATGAGCAGTTCATTTCCTTCTCCATACTCTTCTCTTCCCATCACTCTGGTACAAGTTGATCTTGGTCTCATCTGTCCATAGGATGTTGTTCCAGAACTGTGAAGGCTTTTTAGATGTTGTTTGGCAAACTCTAATCTGGCCTTCCTGTTTTTGAGGCTCACCAATGGTTTACATCTTGTGGTGAACCCTCTGTATTCACTCTGGTGAAGTCTTCTCTTGATTGTTGACTTTGACACACATAAACCTACCTCCTGGAGAGTGTTCTTGATCTGGCCAACTGTTGTGAAGGGTGTTTTCTTCACCAGGGAAAGAATTTTTTGGTCATCCACCACAGTTGTTTTCCGTGGTCTTCCTGGTCTTTTGGTGTTGCTGAGCTCACCGGTGCGTTCTTTCTTTTTAAGGATGTTCCAAACAGTTGATTTGGCCACACCTAATGTTTTTGCTATCTCTCTGATGGGTTTGTTTTGTTTTTTCAGCCTAATGATGGCTTGCTTCACTGATAGTGACAGCTCTTTGGATCTCATATTGAGAGTTGACAGCAACAGATTCCAAATGCAGATAGCACACTTGAAATGAACTCTGGACCTTTTATCTGCTCCTTGTAAATGGGGTAATGAAGGAATAACACACACCTGGCCATGGAACAGCTGAGCAGCCAATTGTCCCATTACTTTTGGTCCCTTGAAATGTGGGAGGCACATATACAAACTGTTTTAATTCCTACACCGTTCACCTGATTTGGATGTAAATACCCTCAAATTAAAGCTGAAAGTCTGCAGTTAAAGCACAGATTGTTCATTTAATTTCAAAACCATTGAGGTGGTGAAATCAAACTGTCCACTAAGGAAGCAACACTGAGTGACAATCAATTTCACATGCTGTTGTGCAAATGGGATAGACAACAGTTGGAAATTATAGGCAATTAGCAAGACAACCCCATTAAGTGAATGCTGGCGGTGCTTTGACTATAGTGATAGCATGAGACAGAGTCTACAACCCACACAAGTGGCTCAGGTAGTGCAGCTCATCCATGTGGCAAGAAGGTTTGCTGTGTCTGTCAGCGTAGTGTCCAGAGCATGGAGGCGCTACCAGGAGACAGGCCAGTACATCAGGAGACGTGGAGGAGGCCGTAGGAGGGCAACAACCCAGCAGCAGGACTGCTACCTCCGCCTTTGTTCAAGGAGGAACAGGAGGAGCACTGCCAGAGCCCTGCAAAATGACCTCCAGCAGGCCACAAATGTGCATGTGTCTGCTCAAATGGTCAGAAACACACTCCATGAGGGCCCGACGTCGACAGGTGGGGGTTGTGCTTACAGCGCAACACCGTGCAGGACATTTGGCATTTGCCAGAGAACACCAAGATTGGCAAATTTGCCACTGGCACCCTGTGCTCTTCACAGATGAAAGCAGGTTCACACTGAGCACATGTGACAGACGTGACAGAGTCTGGAGATGCTGTGGAAAACGTTCTGCTGCCTGCAACATCCTCCAGCATGAGCAAACCGCGAATGGGAGAATACGCAGTGGGCGAATACGCTGACAGACACAGCAAACCTTCTTGCCACAGCTCGCATTGATGTGCCATCCTAGATGAGCTGCACTACCTGAGCCACTTGTGTGGGTTGTAGACTCCGTCTCATGCTACCTCTAGAGTGAAAGCACCGCCAGCATTCAAAAGTGACCAAAACATCAGCCAGAAAGCATAGGAACTGAGAAGTAGTCTGTGGTCACCACCTGCAGAACCACTCCTTTATTGGGGGTGTCTTGCTAATTGCCTATAATTTCCACCTGTTGTCTATCCCATTTGCACAACAGCATGTGAAATTGATTGTCACTCAGTGTTGCTTCCTACGTGGACAGTTTGATTTTACAGAAGTGTGATTGACTTGGAGTTACATTGTGTTGTTTAAGTGTTCCCTTTTTTTTTTGAGCAGTGTATATACAGGGAGTGCAGAATTATTAGGCAAATGAGTATTTTGACCACATCATCCTCTTTATGCATGTTGTCTTACTCCAAGCTGTATAGGCTCGAAAGCCTACTACCAATTAAGCATATTAGGTGATGTGCATCTTTGTAATGAGAAGGGGTGTGGTCTAATGACATCAACACGCTATATCAGGTGTGCATAATTATTAGGCAACTTCCTTTCCTTTGGCAAAATGGGTCAAAAGAAGGACTTGACAGGCTCAGAAAAGTCAAAAATAGTGAGATGTCTTGCAGAGGGATGCAGCACTCTTAAAATTGCAAAGTTTCTGAAGCGTGATCATTGAACAATCAAGCGTTTCATTCAAAATAGTCAACAGGGTCGCAAGAAGCGTGTGGAAAAACCAAGGTGCAAAATAACTGCCCATGAACTGAGAAAAGTCAAGCGTGCAGCTGCCACGATGCCACTTGCCACCAGTTTGGCCATATTTCAGAGCATACATCACTGGAGTGCCCAAAAGCACAAGGTGTGCAATACTCAGAGACATGGCCAAGGTAAGAAAGGCTGAAAGACGACCACCACTGAACAAGACACACAAGCTGAAACGTCAAGACTGGGCCAAGAAATATCTCAAGACTGATTTTTCTAAGGTTTTATGGACTGATGAAATGAGAGTGAGTCTTGATGGGCCAGATGGATGGGCCCGTGGCTGGATTGGTAAAGGGCAGAGAGCTCCAGTCCGACTCAGACGCCAGCAAGGTGGAGGTGGAGTACTGGTTTGGGCTGGTATCATCAAAGATGAGCTTGTGGGGCCTTTTCGGGTTGAGGATGGAGTCAAGCTCAACTCCCAGTCCTACTGCCAGTTCCTGGAAGACACCTTCTTCAAGCAGTGGTACAGGAAGAAGTCTGCATCCTTCAAGAAAAACATGATTTTCATGCAGGACAATGCTCCATCACACGCGTCCAAGTACTCCACAGCATGGCTGGCAAGAAAGGGTATAAAAGAAGAAAATCTAATGACATGGCCTCCTTGTTCACCTGATCTGAACCCCATTGAGAACCTGTGGTCCATCATCAAATGTGAGATTTACAAGGAGGGAAAACAGTACACCTCTCTGAACAGTGTCTGGGAGGCTGTGGTTGCTGCTGCACGCAATGTTGATGGTGAACAGATCAAAACACTGACAGAATCCATGGATGGCAGGCTTTTGAGTGTCCTTGCAAAGAAAGGTGGCTATATTGGTCACTGATTTGTTTTTGTTTTGTTTTTGAATGTCAGAAATGTATATTTGTGAATGTTGAGATGTTATATTGGTTTCACTGGTAATAATAAATAATTGAAATGGGTATATATTTGTTTTTTGTTAAGTTGCCTAATAATTATGCACAGTAATAGTCACCTGCACACACAGATATCCCCCTAACATAGCTAAAACTAAAAACAAACTAAAAACTACTTCCAAAAATATTCAGCTTTGATATTAATGAGTTTTTTGGGTTCATTGAGAACATGGTTGTTGTTCAATAATAAAATTAATCCTCAAAAATACAACTTGCCTAATAATTCTGCACTCCCTGTATTGTTATTTGTCGTCACTACCTCCCCGCTTCGGGAGTGGATAATTTGTGCGCCTGCGGCCTTCCTTGGATGTGGTAGCCGTTTCTCAGGTTCCCTCTCTGGAATCCAACCATGATTCCCTGTTAACCATGGTCACCATGGTAGGCGCAGAAAGTGGCATCGAAAGTTGATAGGGCAGACATCCGAATGCAAAGTCGCAGTCACAGGGACGTCCGATTGGCCTGAGGTTCTCTAGAGTCAACAAAGTGCCTGCACAACTATAATGTCGACAGCTACTCTGCCAAACGGATATTCACTAATAGGTAGGGGATGGAGGGGGGCCCTCTTCCCCACTCTCTGACAGACATCTGGCAGTACTGCCTCAGATCCTGAGAGATGCCTGGCCAGAAGAAGCTGTGGGTGAGCCGAGACGCTGTCCGGCTCCTGCCCAAATGCCCTGCCAAGGGGATATCGTGAGCTAGCTTCAGCAGCTCTTACCAATACTTCTTGGGTCTGGGGCTGGAGGTCTCTCACCAGCCATGTCGTTGGGGAGCCCATTGAAAAAGTGCTCTAGCATGATGAGCTGGGTGATCTCCTCCAGGAACTTGGCTTGATGGGAGTTGAGCCAGTCCTGGGTGGCCCTTGTGATGCGGCATGTCCACTCCGCATGGGAGTCCTCCCCTTTTCGGGTCTCCCTAAACTTTCGGCGGTATTGCTCGGGGGTGACCGCATACCGGGCCAGGAGGATTTGTGTAATAAAGGGATAGTCTATGATCTGCTCTTCTGGTACAGCCCGGTAAATATCCGCTGGCCAGGATGGTGACCTAGTCGCTGGGGTCCACGTCTTGGAGTAGGGACTGGCGCTCAACGTCATCGATGCCTTCCTTGAAGGAATTGTATGGTAGCTTGTGTGCCAGGGTGGTTGTGCTTCCCGGCACCCTCTGCTCCCTTCTTCCTTCATCTGGGTTCATGGACGTCGCCCTCTGTCTATTGTCAAGGACATAGGCTTGCACCTCCAAAAAGGTCCTGCTGACAATCTCCTCTGAGGGTGGCTCTCGGTAATATGCTAGGTGCCGTTCCACCTCCTTGCGCACTTCCTCCTCATCTCCGGCCCCTGGCTGGGGTTCGTTGCCTCACTGCGTGCCTGGTCGGCCTCCATGAGCGCAGCAGTCAATTCAGCCTTGTTACGCCCACTAGGCGTTATTCCTCTGGCTCCACACAAGTCCTGCAGTGTAGGTCGCTTTAGAGCACTGTAGTCCATGGGTCTGTTGGCAGGGACATGGGATCCCGCCGCTTGCCACCAATTGAAGTGGGACCTAGGTAACCGATGGTTATCCCCTTTGATTAGAATAGGTCAGACCCATTTCCCCAGTAACCGGATGGGACACAGTTCTAGGATACAACGTTTGACAATCTTTATTTGGGTACACAGCTTTGCC